TCACCAACCCCCTACCACCCCCCCCCCCCCCCCCCCCCCCCCCCCCCCCCCCCCCCCCCCCCCCCCCCCCCCCCCCCCCCCCCCCCCCCCCCCCCCCCCCCCAAAGAAAAAAGGGGTAGTTTGAGTATCTTACATAGAACCAGGCTCTCAGCATCCACGCCCGATGCTGCTCAATCTGCAAGCGCTTAATCTTGATGTACGCCATGGTCATGGCACCAAGAAACATAATAGCCAGGAAGCCAACAACCGTTTGTGTCTCCACGCCACCACCAAAGGCATGCCTAGCGACCAAGAGCGCGCCGACAGTGGCAATCATCGAGAGCAGTACGACGATATAACCATTGATCCGATGGAAGAGAATGGCCTTGTGCCTAAGGACGGGCACGAACTGGAAGCAGGCGAGGAAGCCGCCCGGGAGGATTCCGGCGAGGTGAAGGATGATCCCGGCCTTCTCGTGGGGGTACTTGCGGTAGTTGTAGCACTCGCCGGGGGCGGTGCCCTTCTCGCTGCAGAGGAAGCGGGAGTAGCCGAGGTAGGAGAACTTCGCCAGGATGAAGCCCATCAGAGTACCGGTGAAGATGAACCAAAGGATGAAGTTGCACCCCTTGGAGAAGCCCAAGGGGTCGTACACCCTACGGGCGATCCGGACAAACTCGTTGGCCGGAGCTCTGTCGGATTTGGCCATGGTTGTTGAGGTTAGGCTTCTGATTCCGTGGGAGACTTGACGGGGTTGAGTTCATCACGTAGCGAGGAAAGGGTCTGCCGGTCTCTGATGGTGCTCTTATATTGATATGATAGTGATGATAGTGAATAGACAGTCTCTCCTCGATCCCAGAGTATTCACCGTGGTATGTGTTTGGTTTTAGGCAGCAGGCATTCTCAAAGCCCTGACGAAAGATTGCAGTATATTATCAAGCCTCCTAACGACAGTCGAGGTCAATGACTGAGCTTGTCAAAACGTCCCAATACCGAAAGCGGATAGACTTCCTTGTTCGCCGTGGTTTTTGGCTTCTGCTTAACTGGTGCTAAGCAAACCAACAACGCCAAGAACCATGGGAGCTCTCTCACGTTGAATCTTTTGTGAAGGATAAGGAGTGATTAATTGCACCCATTGTAGCACCAACTTGCTGGTTTCTACTCTCAGAGATTCGGGCATCCATCCTTTTCTGGCCAGGTCTAGGAATCACCTGTGCTCCACCACTCCTTACGCGCACAACAGAGTGTATCAGCACATTCCATTGCTCAGGGTGGAATGTCAAGGATACAGCTATATGTTTTGTTCAAACAGGATTGTGATTTCAGTTGGGAGTGCTTGCGCCTTCAGCCACCTGCGAATTCCTCAGGGCACAAACCAGGGTAGAATAAGGTCTAACAGACTAAGCGACTGCAACAGCTGTGCCCCCAAGCCACGTCCCAAGCCACGTCTACACGACTATTAGATTAGTACTAAAGACAAACTAGAGACCTACTTGAGTGGAATTTTGTGCTAGAGAGCAATCAGTAGTCTCCTGTGCACCCAGTTCATTGATCTTAGCTCCGTCGTGGTCAAGAATCATCAGAGTCACTGGCGAGTCAGAAGAGAAAGTGGCATTGGCTTAGCTGATGCCGGGGACTAGACACCGGCAATAGTCAAGAGTTGGTTGAGACCCTTTCGCACTTCGATCGTTGTCGACTTTGGCCACCGCTTTTAGAGCGTTGAAAAATTTACAACTTGACGCAAACAAGAGCATTTAAAATGGAAACAAAAATTAAAACTAAAAAACCAGACAGAAAATACTATTCCTAATAGGTGCAGTTTAAATCCGATAATCTAGGCGTTGTTGAGTTGTGAAAGACTCTGAAGGCATATTCATGTAGCTGGCTTGATAGCGTAGTTACTTGTTCGAGACGACTGGGTCGCCAGAGACATAAGATAATTGGTAAAGAGTCTCAACTTTTGCACTAATGTGAGATTGTTCAAATGACAAATATTGTCTAGATATGTTGAGGAGACTTGTGCAACCCATTACCTAGCGCCGGGTTATGACAACTCTCTCTTCCACAGCCGATACTTAGTGCTAAGTCGAGTTGTGATCGACACACGATTCTCCTCCACTACCATCCTAGTGATAGCTTTGGCCTGCGCTCATCGTCTGCCCCGCGACGAAGTATTAGTTCGATTGTATATGTCCCTTGCTCCAGTCGTAATGTGGAAGGTATAGCTTAAGATATTGTTCTCTTCCTATTTAAAGCACATCATTGCAAATATACACTATCTGCCTCTTGATGGCCCGCAAAAAATGCCCAGCGGATTGAAACCAGGGCACAGAGTCTATTCAGTGTAGGCGAGGTTGGTCACTACTGGGAGATGGCAGCTGCAGCAGCCACATCAGCTGTCAGGGCTGCAAGCTGCGGACGAGGAGGACGAGGCTGGATGGTGGAACCACACCCACACTTCAAAAATGGCCGGCTAGTCCGCGACTTCGCTGAAAAGCTGCAGGGGGTGCACTTTTCCGAGGGGAGGGGGGTTGGGCGAGGACAGGGGAGGATGAGGCCGAGAACAACGATGAGGAAAACTGAATTAGCTTCAGAACATGGCTTTTTATTGCCTCCAGAACGTTGTCGTCGACAACATGACCTTGGCAGATTTCCCTTTTGCTCCGTCCCCGGTTGACAGCTGACGTCTTCCCATGAGAAAGACGCGGCTGGAGGCGTTATTCTCTTCCTATGAGATCTGCGAAGATCGGGGCAAGTGAGTGGTTGTGGTCGAATTTCCTTGGACCCCTAAACTCTCCTCCAGTGCCGCGCAGCAGTCGATCGCAGGGCTGCTCGGCGAGTGTGGGGGACAATAGCGGGGTGCAGCATCAGTGTGTTAGGTCGTGACCAATGGAGGCCAATAATATCAGGCATCATTAGTAGTACTAGACTAACTATGCGGGCAGGGATATGCGTTTGGTATATAAATACCGGGTGTTAGGCTCTAACGACGAGCTAAAGCTAGCGCCCGTTGCCCCTGTGGGTTGCGCCGCACCGCGTGGTTGCACCGAATCTTCATTCAAAACAAACCGAGGTGCTGGTAAAGAAAGTCTTCTTTTTGTGTGAGCTCCGTATGGCAATCGCCCTTTCCCTACCACGCCACTACAGCCTGTCGTGTTTATCAATGGCCTGCTGAGTTGGAACGAGCTTCTACACTCTGCTTTTCCCTAGGTCCCCAGGACTCTCGGCCTACCGACGTCTCCTTCCCAAAGGGGGCTGAACCGCATCGAAAGGACACTCTTACCGTCCAGGATGTCGTTCTTCTTCGGAAGGGGAAGGACACGAACCAACACTGTTGATTTGCCGAAGCAGGCGCGGGAGCATGTTACCAAACTAGAGGGGCCAGCTGGTGCAGCAAAGGTTAATTCCTTCGCAGCTCTCGACCTGCATTTCAATGTTAATCTCACCTTCCTACCTAGGCCGAGGAGCTCGCCAGAGTTCTTAATCAGATGAAATCCATCCTGCAAGGGACCTATGGTACGCCATAGCCGCCTTCCTTTTTTTTTCTCTCTCACGGGACGGGGACTGACAAAGTTCGCAGAGGCAGATGTGAGCCCGGAGCAGATCTACCAGCTGGTGACGTCCATAATCGACGAGGACCTCCTTTACCTCCTCGCCGTAAACCTCCACAGGTTACCGTTCGAGTCGCGGAAGGACACCCAGGTCATCTTCTCGTACGTTTTCCGCTTCCGCCCGCCGACCGCCTCCGAGAACAGCGAACCAATTGCCCTGGCATACGTCGTCGACAAGCGGCCGCAGGTCCTAGTTGCGCTATGCAGGGGGTACGACCACAAGGAGAGCGCCACCCCCGCCGGATCGGTGCTGCGAGAGGTCTTGAAGAGCGAGGCCGCCGCGGCCATCATCCTGTACGATGACGGAGACGAGCTGGGGTCGAGCGCGCAGGGCATAATGGCGATAGAGAGGGACCGGCCGCAGAGCGGGAATGGCGTGTTCTGGCGTTTCTTCGACTGGATCGACAAGAGTTCTTTCGAGGTGGCGGCCGACGCCTTCACAACATTCCGGGTATGTCTACCCCCTTCTCGCCGGCGTCCTCTGGCATGGCGGGTGCTGACATGGATGCTACTCCCCAGGAAGTCCTTACCAGGCACAAGGACCTTGTTCCCAGGTATCTAGCCATCAACTTCGACCTCTTTTTCGACAAATACAATCATATTCTGGTCCAATCCAACAGCTACGTCACCAAGCGGCAGTCCATCAAGCTCCTGGGCGAGATCCTACTCGACAGGTCCAACTACAACGTCATGACGGCATATGTCGACAGGGGCGAACACCTCAAGATATGCATGAACCTGCTCCGGGACGACAGGAAGATGGTCCAGTACGAGGGCTTCCACGTCTTCAAGGTCTTCGTCGCGAACCCGCACAAGTCCATCCCGGTCCAGAAGATCCTCCTGATGAACCGCGACAAGCTGCTGACCTTCCTCTCCCACTTCCTCGAGGACCGGACCGACGACGAGCAGTTCATAGACGAGAGGGAGTTCCTCATCAAGCAGATCAGGAACATGCCTCCCACGCCTGTGGCACCTCAGCGCTAGGTAGTCGAGGTCGACTTGGGGTTCGGCAAACGGTGCATTTGGATTGTGTGTATAGCAGGAATTTCGGAGTCCGGGGTGTTCATGAGCTACGGTCGCATGTTGGGTTACCTTGACGCCGCGGGTAGGTGGCAGGTTGGGGTTAGTACAAGTCCGGGGCTTCCCGATCATTGGAACTGCTTGGGATTCTGGCGAGGTTAGGAGGCAGTAGGTAGGGAGACCATTGCTGTATTTTTGTCCCATAGCACGCACGAGTGGGGCCATCCTCCTGATGTGCCACGAGAAACAAATACACAATACTCTACCAAGTGGAATAGGTAGACAGAGCTGCCTCCTTTTCGCCCCAGTTAACTGTCTCTACTTGGATCTTGGCGTTGGGAAAGGACAACCCAGTGGAAGAAGTCACTGTAGCACTTCGAAAGCCCCGGTTTAATCCGCCTGTCTGAACTTGAATTCTGGTACGGATTCCGGAATAAATCTTGCATAACGACTCATGGCTATGGGAATTATGGGCATCTCGGCAAGCCACACCATGGCTAGAATGCCACCCCACCAGTCTCACGAGAGTCCCCCATTCAAGGAAGGGTACACGGATTTGTTGACCAACAACTCTCTCTATCTTTGATCAGGGATAGAAAACACTGTCCTCGAGAGTCGGGAGATTGTTCGAGAAATCAAGTACTTGAGCGGTTTAAAGACCGGGTGGAGGAGGGACCTAGGGTTTCGGCTGTTAGTCGTGAGGAGCAAGGGGCAGTCTACAGAGCCACCTACCGAGCTATATCCACCCATTCCGGGCGGTGAGGCGGATGGAGGGGGTGGCGGAGGAGCAGAGCCGGAAGGCGGTGGCGGCGGTGGAGCTGCCTCGCTCGGCGGGGGAGGGGGCGGAGATGCCGCGGTGCCCGGCGGGTGAGGAGCAGCAGCGCCTTGTTGTCCAGCCTGCGCCGCGGCAACCCATTGCTGGTACATCTGCATATATCTAAGGGGAAGTCAGTAACCCGTAACGCGGCCCGGTATGGCTGAGGATTGGTCTTACGCGGCGTAACCACCATACGCGGCATAGGGGTCGGAGGTTCCGTAGTACTGCGCGTATTGGGCAGCATAATCAGCAGCACCGGGGGTGTTGCCAGATGCTGCGGGGGGCGAAGCAGTCGCCACCTCAGCGACAGGCGCCGGCGAGTTGCTATAGCCGTTGTTCCTGTTATACCCCTGATAGCCTCCTGAGCCGTGCGACCGCTCGCCATAGCCTCCTGGGTTGTGCGATCGATCGCCATATCCTCCTGAGCCGCCAAAATTACGAGGTGGCCGGGCTTTGAACTCTTCGTACTGCTCCTTCACGTTGGCAAGAAGATCTTCGCACAATTCCTTGCCCTTCTGGACCATCTGAGCGTCTGGGCCGCTGTTGTGCATTGTTAGAAGTTGCGTCAGTTTCGTCGGGGCGCGGTAGACCTACGCAACATGCAGGAACATTTCCTCCTCGCTCTCCTGTCCCGTAGAAAGCTCAACATAACCCGAGCCACGGCCTTTGATTTGGACACGGCAGCCGGTTTCCTGTTGGATATGCTTCACATAGGCTCCGCCATGACCAACGACCTGGGCACGAAGGTTGAAGCCAGGAATCGGTTCAAGGTCGATGGGGATCTTCTCCTCGGGCCATTTGCGCTGTTTCAAATTAGAGTCGGGAGGGGAGGCGGCAACAGAAAAGTTGGGAGGGTAAACATACGCGGCCAAACTCATCACGCTCGACCTGTTCCTGGTCTCTGCGGCGGAAGCGTCTCTCGTCGACCAACTGGGGAAGTTCCTGTTTCATCAGTTCCTCGATCTTCGCAACAGCTCGCTCAAGTCCTTCTTTGGAGGTGCTGGTAATATGCAAATAAAGCGGCGGGTTCTGTACAAAAAAAAAAAAATGGTGAGCCGTGGTGTCTTATAAACTTCAGATGAAGAGACATACCGCTGGCGTCGCCATAGTCTTGTCGGGATAGTAGGCACCCCGAGTGGTAATATCTTTCGAAAGTCAATAGGTCAACTATGGCTCCTCAAATCGGCTGGATTTATAGGTGAGGCGTACCGGCACCAGTTTCATCTTTGATCTATATCAAGCAGCCGAGGTCAGCAGGGGCAAAAGAGGGTGATCCTGTACGGCTATCATGCTTCAGTAAGCAAGACTATTCCCGTACAGAGACGGGGGAGGAGAATCGATTCAGGGCTGGAGAGTCAGCTGAGATAACCGAGAGTATTTACCATTTTCTGGGTTGACCCTTTGGTCACAAGATATCGGTTTCGCAGATCGTTCACTTCAATATCCTTGATGTAGTCGCCGTCGGAAATATACATCTCTCCATTGATATTCGCGGAGGCGTGGTTTACGTCGCCGGATTGAGTTGTCGGGGAACTAGACTTGACAGGAGGAACATCGACATGCTGGATGCCCTTGCGCGCTTGAAGCTGGGCATTGATCCTGGCAGCAGCAGCAGCTGTGATGATGCTATTAGTGACAAGTCTCGGGCAAACCAAACGACTGGAGTAACGAATATGGAGGCTTGCTCCGGTGGCAACGTACCAGCAGCTGCAGCTGGATCAAGTGGAGATTTGGAATCCGGGGTTGAGCTGTTGCGCGCCTTGGAAAGAGGGCTTCGCTCTCGCGCGGTCTCCTGCCTTCGAGGTGGAGAGCGCGATCGTCTGTCAAATCGCGATGCTCGCTTTGGCTCAGGTTCAGTCTGGTCAAAGCGGGAGCGCTTGACGCTGCGCCGTTCGGAGTCTTCCATTCTGTCAGGTCCTCATGGAAATTTGGTGAGTTGTTCCGACTTGTATCCTTCGTCGTGTGTTGTAGGTTGTGCCGAGCAGGTAGGTACCTAGATTGAGGTGGGCTGTGACTTTTCCAAGGTCGAGCCTCGCAAACTTGAAGGCTCAAGCAGCTAGTACAGGGTCCACTCTGGACTGGGTTCGGACCAATATTTTCTCCAGGTTCCGGGGAAGCAGCCAGTCAAATCCCTGCATCTGCAGGTGCTTCGACGCTTGGATCGGGCTTAGGTTCAAATGTACCCAGTCGTTTCAACATAAGTTCTACCCTGCGCTGGAAAAATTGGCTCACTGAGGTGCTTGAAAACTTGGTCACTAGCCGCTGCCTCCTTCTACCAATTCCTAGACTGTCAACCTAGGTCGTCAGGAATTCACCCAGGTACTTCGTGCAGGTTCCACTATCGATTCACGTGCAAACCAGGATCCGTTAGCTTCTTGCGCACGGACTTCTCCGCACCACAAATGGTCCAGACTCCGATTATGGCCGAAATTTTTAATCCCAGCACAGCGGTGATTCATCCCTCCAAGTGCCCGTCAAAGGAGGAGTCACGAAACGCTGAGTTGAACTTATTCCACCTTTAGTGGCTGTGAGACCCATCGATTCTGATCAGGGGACCTATCGTTCTCCTAATTGATCAGGAAAATGGCATCTCGAAGCTTCTTGAAGTCGGCAGCATGGCGAATCCTCACACCGACGGCTCGGGGCATCCCAGCTCTTCCCACCCACGCAACGCCAGTGGCCCTTCGATACAGCTCTAGCAGCAGCTCGACTTCCGCCATGGCCTACAAAGCCATCAGACGGCGCCAGGCCCCCCTTCCCATCAGCGATGCACCACCGTCTTGGTCAGCCCAGGCTGCCGTCTCGAACATCCTCTACGAGACGCCCACACCGTCGACTGCCCCGCCCAAACGGCATGTCCTCAATTGCCTTGTCCAGAACGAGCCGGGAGTGCTCTCGCGCGTCTCGGGAATTCTTGCAGCTCGGGGCTTCAACATTGACTCCCTTGTCGTGTGCAGCACCGAGGTGGAGGATCTCTCTCGGATGACCATCGTGCTCACTGGTCAGGATGGCGTTGTCGAGCAAGCCCGGAGGCAATTGGAAGATCTGGTGCCTGTCTGGGCGGTTTTGGACTATACCAACGCTGCCCTGGTCCAGCGGGAGCTTCTCCTGGCCAAAATCAACATCCTTGGGCCAGAGTACTTCGAGGAGCTCCTCACTCATCACCGGGAGATAACTGCTATCGACCAAGAATCCGAGGTTCAGAACGAAACTAGTGAGCTAAGCTTGGATGAGCTTGCAAAGGACTTCCATCCCAGCCGACTAGCTGCTAGCGAGGCGCTGAGGCACAAGCACGAGCATCTGAAGAGCATCACCTATTTCGCCCACCAATTCGGTGGCAAGGTACTAGATATCAGCACAAATAGCTGCATTGTTGAGATGTAAGTGGAATCCGCCCAAGTTCATCGGGCTGTCCTTCGGTTACTGATGAATTCAGATCTGCCAAGCCAAACAGGATCGACTCCTTCCTCAAGCTGATCGCCCCCTTCGGAATTCTGGAGTCAGCCCGCACTGGCCTAATGGCTCTGCCACGATCTCCTCTGTACGGACCTAACGAGGACGACGGACATGTGAAGGATGCAGATGAGGTGGTTGATGCTAGCCAGTTACCGCCTGGCTGATGGGCTGGGTTTATGTTCGGTTGCTGTTTGCCTGACTTGGTTTTTGGACTCCGTGTACATACTGGCGGGTAATTGGACTGATTTAAGCATTGCTTTTGTGCCATATTTTAACGGCGTGCTATCTCCGATCGCCCTCCTTCTTTCCCCAGACCCCCTCCCAAAACCTCGACCATGACACACGTCTTATAGCAGATTTCCTTTGTTGACGACGAATCCTTCTAGCGCAGCTGCGTGATCGTCAATTGGGTTGTTCTCCGTGACAAGTAATAGTCGTGACAAGCGTCTGTACTTACCAACAGCTGCCCACAGGCGATTCTCTGCTTCCGGAAAGACGAGAGATCGCGGGCTGTAGAAGACCTCATCTGCGACCTCTTCTGGGTGGCGAGGCAAGCAGTGCATGAACTTCCAGTCGGGTTTGGCACCGCCCCGCTCTGCAAGCTCATTTGTAATCTGAAACCCGGAGAACGCGTTGAGCCGTTTCTGCGCATCTACCTCTTGGCCCATGGAAATCCAGGTGTCGGTGACCAAGATATCCGAGTCCCTGACAGCTTCTTCGGGAATGGTTGTCTCGGTGAGCTTTCCTGGCGACGCCACGCCGTCTCCCGCAGAGACTATGACCTGTTTCATGGCATCGGGAATGCCGTAGCCAACTGGGGAGGCAACAGAGATATGAATACCCATCTTGACACATGCCGTGGCAAGATCGAAGAGGACGTTGTTCGAGTCGCCTATCCATGCGATCTTCAGCCCCTCAAGGCCGAGACTTGACTCCGTAGGCACCCTTTCTGGGAATGCCTCGTGGATGGTCAAGAAGTCGGCAATGGTCTGCAAGGGGTGGAAGTCGTCAGATAAGGCGTTGATGACGGGGACTGACGAATGTTTCGCCAGGTTTGCGACATCGGAGTGAGGGCCAACTCGAGCCACCATACACGAGGTCATGGATGAGATTACGACGGAGGTGTCGTGGAGGGACTCATTCACCTAGTGGGTGGTTTAGCCAATGTGCAAGTCGCGGGAGCATGTTGGGGAACTCTTACGCCCAACTGGATGTCATCCTTGCCAAGGAACATGGGATGGCCCCCCATCAAAGCCACTGCAGCCTCGGTAGACACGCGTGTCCTAGTGCTACGCTTGCTAAACATCATGGCCACTGTTTTGCCCGTCAACGTCCCACTCAGAGACTGGGGCGTACCATCGGCAGACCAGGCGTCTTTAACAGCTGCCTTGTGATTGGAAGCATTGCGGACCAAGGAGGTGAACTCGGATGGAGTTAGGTCGCTGATTGACATCAAATGGCGAGGGGCCGTTGCAGAACCGGACATGGCCCTGGTTTGAGCACTCCTGACGGCCATCTGGACGGGGCGAAATGTTGGCCGATGCATGGTTGTGGACGGTGAGAGTAATCAAGGGAAGACTGAGCAAAACAAGTTGACGAAACCAATGGATGCTGTGAGCGAGTTAGAAACTGAACCAGGACCAAGACAAGGCTGCTAACTCGGATTCATACATTTCAGGTAACTAGATGAATTATGAGTCAGCTCAAGTTGACTTTCATGAAGGCCAATGACCTGCCCATCACAACGTCTAACGGTGTGAGAGAGGTCTTGACTCAGAGATTTGACCGCCAAACCACGTTATGAAAAGGGCTAGAGTGATATGCAGAGGGAGGAACAAGGTACCTGCGACAAGACTTGGAAGGATGCAAAGCCTTTCCTACCAGGAGAAGAAGGGGAAGGTTGGCGTCTTTATGAAGTTACTCCTCTCCACCGGTTCGATATATTGGCATCTGGAAGCTGCCGACGTCTTGCAGGAGTTTGCCCTCTGTTCTGTCACGAGTGTCAAGTCGAAGTCAGGACATCCTCCTTTTGCTTCATCGATATGTTCAGAGTTAAGTCTGTGTCTGTCGTTGCGCTAGCCAATCATAAAAAAGGTAATCAACATTTGCAGGCGAGCATCCTCGCTACCTACAGAAGAAGACTAGCGGCCCTGCTAGCCCTATAATCCTACCATACCCAATGAAGCTTGGTTGTGTTTGCTTCAGTCTGGAGCACGTGGACGACTCAGAGACCCCGAAATGTACTCCATGCACTGCGCAGAGATACGTGTACTCGTAGGTGCCTGGGTGGCCTATGCGCCGCAACCAACTCGGTGGCGGAAGCCAGGCACCGATGGGAAGGGGTACGTGCGTAGCACGACGTTCGACATGCCTTGGTTTCAGGTGACGACATCGGCACCTTTGTTGTCCTTCAAGCACTCCTCCATTCTAGAACCTTAATTTAAGACATTACGCACACAACGGCTTCCTCGATTGAGAGCACCTCTTGCAAGTCCACGAGGCAGATCTTTGGCCATGAACTGAAAGGGGGCTTGGCCGAGATCATCGCACACGTTAACGCCATCCCCCTTCCACCCCAGCGATCGCCATCACCATGTCCGACTCAGCGTCCGGCAGAGCCTCATCTCCGCTGCTCGCTGGCCAGGACGGGTCCAAAGCATCCATACAACCTTCGGAGATCTCATTCGAGTCTACACCGCTTCTCTCAAGCACCGGATCTAATGTCCGGTATGATGGCAGAGAGGATGAATCCGTCCGCAGTGACGCCACCTCGATCGCCGCATCGGTCAGGTCTCGACACACCGACGCATCATCAATAAAGAGCAGTACCAAGAAGTCAAGTCGATTACCCTCCATCATCGCCATGGTTATTCTTGCGCTGTTTTCCACTGGCATAATCATCGTGGCCTTCTTCGCTCCTGCTGCGGTCGAGGAGTATGCCAAGGAGGCGGCTGTTCTGGAACCGACGAGTCTGTCCCTCGAATCGATAACATCGAACGGGGTCCGCGCTCGCATTCAAGCCGTATTCAAACTGGATGGGACTCGTGTTAGGAACGATCATGTTAGGAGTGCTGGCAGGGCCGCGACCTGGATGGTGAGACAACTGGGTACGGGGGAGACCAATATCACCGTCTATCTTCCCGAGTATGACAACATTCTACTTGGTACGGCCAGCGTGCCACCGCTGGTTATCGACATTGTGGATGGCCACAGTACAGTCATCGATTTCGTTGCCGAACTCGTGCCTGGCGACGCGAATGGTATCCGGACGATTGCCAACGACTGGTTAGACGGGAGGCTCGAGTTGCTGAGGATTCATGCCAAAGCAGATGTCCACCTCAAGTCCGGAATTATTCCCCTTGGGACGCACGCCATCTCTGAGTCCCTTACTTTTGAAGGTCAATATCTCTACCGTTCTTTCGCTTCGTTGTATTTTGGAGAGAAATCGCTCTTTTAAAAAAAAAATCGAACACAATCCAATTTCTCTTGCTCGTCCCGCCACTGCTTGATCTCTTGGCTGATAGATTGCATAGCCAAGAAACTGTCTGACCTACCGCAATACAACATCACTCGCTTAAATTTCCTCGAAGTCCCTATCCCCGGCGACGGTAATCGAGGGATGGGCGCAGAGGTCTCATTGACGGCGTTCAACAAATATCCTGTCTCGATTGATGTTCCGAAACTCGGATTTGAGATCCTCGTATCTGGCTGCAGCCCGTCCGATCCCTACATTCTCGTTGCCGACGCTGTCACTGAGCCTGTAGCCGTGCGGCCGATGTCAGACGTTGTCGCCGAAGTGAATGGCCTCATCAGAGGCCTTCCCGAATTGCTGCTACAGGCCTGCCCCAACTCTGACTCGTCCCCGCTGGACCTCTTACTGAAGCAATACCTCGACAGCGAGGCGGCGACGGTATTCGTTCGTGGCGCCGAGCAGCCGAGGGCCGACATGCCGGGCTGGCTAGCAAAGATTCTGGCCAGTATTACACTTCCCGTTCCGTTTCCCGGACGGTCCTTCGATAACCTCGTCCGCAATTTTTCCGTGGCCGATGTCCGATTTACGCTTCCCAGCCCCTTGGCCGATCCGGACGATCCGGACGCAAATCCGAAAGTTTCAGGGGTCATCAAAGTGCTGGCGGCCCTGCCATCCGAGATGAATTTCGATATCAATGTCACTGATATCCGGGCCACCGCCGATGTCTTCTACCAGTCGAATAAACTGGGGGAGCTTGACCTTCAAGATTGGTTAAAGGCCAACTCGACAAGACTAGATGCAAAGGAGGGCCGCGAGGCTTTACTCAAAATCCAGTCCCGAATAGAAGACGCGCCCCTGAATGTCACCGACAGCGATGTCTTAACCGATGTTGTACAAATGTTGCTATTTGGTGACGAGCAAGTCATCTTGGATATCAAAGCCGATGTCGGCGTCAAAGTGCTGACAGTTCTTGGGGCACTCACTTTGAAGGGCATCCCCGCCGAGGGCCAGTTCCCAGTAAAACGTCCGTCTTCACTTTGGTAGTGTTAGTCACCTTCAACTTGAATAGATCTCATGTTGAGTCTAGTCTTCAAGCCCTGCGGGGATGCTTACCTTCAGATGGCATGCTGACATTTCTCAAGCTCTTCCGAGAAACTCGCTCACCGAGCTAGAACCGAGGATTGGCAACATTACCATCCTCGAGACCACACCTGGGTCTATAAGGCTGGAGGCTCTGGTCAATGTCACAAATCCGACCCCTTATACAGCCCATATCCCATCCATCAACATCCACGTTATCAGTAACGGCTCCCTTGTTGGTGAAGCGCTTGCCGAGGATCTGGACATTGGCCTTGGAAATAACACCAACCTCAAGGTGTCGGCTCTATGGAACCCCTCAAGGGGCGGCGACAAAGGTATCCAGACAGGGCGGGACCTTCTCTCTGAATACATATCCGGCTTCAACACTACTGTGACGTTGAGAAGCCATAGAGGGAGCATACCCTACCTGCCTGAAGTTGGCCATGCCCTGTCGAGACTCAATCTCACCGTTGCGGCGCCACGGCTCAGAATCCCCGGTGACGACGATAATGAGCAGAGCCACTTTATCAAGGATGCCACATTTCACGTATTCTCGTCGACCGCCACGTTCACCTTATTCTCGCCCCTTGAGCACAACACACTGTACCTTGAGCGTGTCAACGCGACAGCCTACTACAATCATACGGACCCGGTGGGGAGGATCGAGTACGGCTTGCCATTTGCGTGCCCTCCCGGTGCGTCGCAGACGCCCAAACTCCCCGTCGAATGGTCCCTGGACTCGGTTGGATACGAGAAGTTGAGGAAAGCATTAGGCGGCCAAATGAAGCTAGACGCAGAGGCCGTCGTTGGCGTGCGGCTGGGAGCTTGGAAGGAGACGCTCTGGTACATCGGAAAGGGAATTGGGGCAAAGATACGGGTCTGAAATATAAATCCGGCGCAAGGGGCTGGCTTGTGTGCTTCCATAGCCGGTGTTATTAGGAGTCCATGGCGGAAAGATTGCTTCTGCTGGCGCACCACCGATTCCTCCAGGCACTGACTCGAGTGCTACGGATGTCATAGAATATGATGCGTTGCTTTTTTCGGACATATACATTATGGGCTAGAACCCCCTGTTGATGTTTGGCTATTTGTTGGCTACTTCTAGAAAGGCGAGAAATATAAGAGGAACCTCTCCGTCAGCTCGAGCGGCATCTGGATAAACTTGATCGTGTCGGTAGTCCAGGCCTCATTTTCCGTCCTCACCCCGACCAGTCTCGCGTCCTTGCTAGTCGGCCTCCGCGGCTCCCGGCTGATGGCCATGGTCACCTCGCACTCCCCCCGCCTGATAGCCACGGGGCCCCTGAGCCGCGCGAAGACCTCGCCGCCGCCGCCCTGGACATCGAAGACGCTGACGCTGTGGTCGATCTCCATGGGGCTGGGGTTGGTCACGAGGAACGTGGTCGAGACGCCGGAGACGTCGACGACGCGCGCGGCCAGCCCGCCCATGGCCCGGATGCGGACGTCCTTGCTGTACACGCACCGGCCCGTCACGCCGACGGCCGAGACGCAGCACGGCCCGTTGTCGAGCGTCAGAACGAGCCACTCGTCGTCGACGGCCGACCGCACGAAGGCCCGGAAGGCCGCCAGATCGAGCACCCTGACCGTCTGGTTGCGGACTTCGACCCGCGAGCCGCCGGGTCGGGTCATTATCTGGGGCAGTTGAAGCTTGCCGAAGCGGGCGCCCCTGAAGACGAGGTCGACTTCCATGGGAGACACTGTCGCTGAGATGGGTCCGGTCCCGGTCACTAGAGCCGAGACGCTTATCACGAAGGTGCTTTGGGGAGACGGTGTTAGCACGCTGTTCTTGAAAGCTTTGCTCAGTTATGCGAAAGGGGGGGAGGCGCGAGATAGTTCTTACTCTGCTGTTGCATTGGTAATCCTGACGAAATCCACCTCGAGACCTGAATAGTCCAAAATGAATTTGACGATACGATGCATGGCTGTGACTTGAATTATTCCAAGTTGCCGGCAACTTCTTGAGCGCAGCTAAGTGGCTTGAGGACCAGAAATAGCAGTTAAGTCTGGAGGGATAACGATGGTTCGTTGGCTGATTGTGAATGAAGAGGCAGCGAGCCTGAGGGTGAGTATAGGGGTAGGAGATAGATAGATCTGGTAGTCCACCTTGGTCGGTGCCCTCTTCTTATACACAGCAGCTAGAGGGTTTCTCCTCACACAGAAGACTTCACCAAGGGACAGCAAACAGATTGCATATGCCTTCCTGGACGACTCAGAGTTGGCAGTAGGAGCAGTTCTATGGCCAGCCGCAATGTTACACAACAAAAGTCGTATAACTGGGCCAAGCGGGAGGCAGCGGATCTGAAGTCTAACGTGTGGGCAAGCAAAGGTGCATGTGTGGGCTGCGGGAAAACTAGGGACGATGCTACCGAGTCTCATCGTCTCAGGCATCTTCTGCCGGCTCACAAGCTGGTCAGAGAACTGAATTGCACAAGGGGTAACGTCGCCCTTCAACCCAAGCGACAAACTATAGTACACAGAGCATATACAAGGCGTCGGCTGCCATACAATCGCGAAGGGAATGACTAGGCTCATGATGCAGCCTTGAGAGTAGCAGCTTCGTTCCTCGCCTGTGCAACAAGCGCAGCCTCCCTCCTTTGCGCCTCCAGCATTCTCCGTACCCTCTCGCGATCCACCTCGCCCCTCTTCCTCAACTCCTCAGCATCTCGCAGCTCGGCCTCCTCTTGTGGCGTGGGCAGTACCGGAACCGCGCCCGTCTTCTCCATGAACTCCTTTAGTATGATGCTCGAGTGCAGCGCCTTCATGTTGATCGAGACTGTCCGCTCGCCCTGGGCCGGTTCGGGTGCCTTCGCAAATCCGTCCGCGGAAGAAGCAATCTCAGACTGGGCGCCTTCCTCGGCAGCGGCAGCGGCAGCATCGGCGTCTTTACTGCCATCACGGAAGTATAGTGTCATGGTCGCGGGGCCGGCCTGGTCGGTGGTCCGGTTGACGATCATTGGGATGGCCGGGTTCCAGAATTTCAAACGCGGCAGGCTCTCTCGCCAGAACTTCCTGTAGGATCCACGTCGTCAGGAAATGCCCTGCAACGGCCGTCTCACGCTCGTCGGAGACGCTGCGATCGGGGGCAACGTACCTTGGCCCCATATGCCCCTCGCTGTTCTTCTTCGCAAACTCAATGTGTATCCGCGTAACATCGGGGGGTAGGAGGGCTGCGCCGGGTCCATGTCGAATTTCTAAGAGCTGCTCTAGTCGTTAAGCAATGGGTCATCCCGCCAAGTTGGGGCGGTCGTGGTTCAACACGTTACCTTCTGTTTGCCGTTGTTAGTTTTCCCCTTATGTTTCCTAAGGGGCGCGGAATCTGCAAACTTACTCCTCTTAATTTGTTCATTCGCCGTATGACGCCCACCATCTTGACAAGTAGCGGTGCACCTGTTGGTGCCGTATGAGCTGCTTGATCTCGGTCTTTGCGAAACGCGATGCTGCTCAATCCTTAAAGTTTTGGATGCGGCTCCGCTTGAAAATGTCCCGAGCTACCAATGCACCGGCCCAGTGGCGCCGGGGTCTTATCACTAACGGGCTTAGCGCCAATCGGCTTGCCTGCCGGGGAGACGCTGTGGAACAAATTTTTGATGCCCACCCAGAAAGAACCAGGGTGAAGCTCTTAATCGCGACATCTTCCTCAACTCCGCGTCAGGTAGACAAACAGAAGGCAGTTTGAGACAGCCTAGTTGTCTGTGGACTGACTGACTAGAAATGCAGTCAAGCAGATCGATCAGCTCGAAATGGCTCAGGAGAGCCTTCAACATCGGGAATGGCCCTTTGAGTTCCGAGCTTCCACTCTATCTTTGTCCAAGCCTTGTCAGAAGCTCGACAATAGGTCGTCGCACCTTTGTCTACCGTCCGAGCCAAGCAAAAGCCGGGTGTAGACAACAGGCTAGGCGGTTACACACATACACTGAGAGCGCAAGCGCGACAACACCGCCAATACCGTCGTCTCCTCGCCCCCTGAGGACGCTGCCCCTACAGTGTTCCGGCTGCGGAGCTTTGTCTCAAACCTCTCTACCCAACCAGGCTGGATATTACGATTCAGAAAGGAAGTCCGTCGGTTCCTACCTGGGGCTACTCGAAGAGGAGAAGAAACGTGTCCGGGACGATGATCGCGTCGTCCAAGATGCGCTTCGTTCCTTGGAGCTGAACAAGCTGGGCGGACTGGGGACTGACTTGAAGACGCTGCTAAAAAAGCCCACGGCCGCCAACTCAAGCCTCATCCCCGAAAGCTCGAAAGCGCCCCTCTGTGATCGCTGCCACAACCTGATCCACCACCATGTCGGAAACCCGATATACCACCCCACCATCGAGTCCCTGCGAGAGACAATCGAAGAATCCCCGTATAAATACAACCACGTCTATCACGTGGTAGACGCCGCCGACTTTCCCATGTCTCTGCTGCCCAGGATCAACCAGCTCATTGACATGATGCCGCTGCGGTCACAGAACCGGAGGTCGAGGTCGGGCAAATACCACCGAGGTCGGAAAACTGAAATGAGCTTCATCATCACCCGATCGGACCTGTTGGCGCCTGTGAAGCAACAGGTGGACTCGTTAATGCCCTACCTCAAGGATACGCTACGAGACGCCCTGGGTAGGGCTGGGAAGCATGTTCGGCTCGGAAACGTGAGGTGCGTTAGCGCCAAGAGGGGTTGGTGGACGAAGGAACTGAAGGAAGAAGTCTGGGAGCGCGGTGGTGCTGGTTGGATGGTGGGCAAGGTGAATGTTGGCAAAAGCCAACTCTTCGAGGCTGCTTTCCCCAAGGGGAGGATGGACTGGACCCCGCCGAAGCATCAGATCTCCGTCCCGGTCTTTCCAGCGGCCCAACCAAAGACTCCTGTTGAGACTATTTCTGAGAGGACCACATGGGAAGACGCACAGGGCAGCTCGGCGATGCTCGAAAACAACGACATGGATGAATCGTCCCTTCTGCCGCCCGCACAGGTCGAGACCAACTATCCCGCTATGCCTGTTGTTTCGTCTCTACCGGGGACCACCGCATCGCCAATCCGGGTGCCGTTTGGAAATGGAAAGGGAGAACTGGTTGACTTGCCTGGACTGGCCCGGAGTGACTTGGAAATGCACGTTAAAGAGGAGCACCGTGCCTCCCTCGTCATGAAATCCCGCGTTCTCCCTGAGCAGCAAGTCATCAGACCCGGCCGCTCGCTCCTGCTGGGCGGCTTCATACGCATCACTCCCAAGACTCCCGACCTCACCTTCCTCGCGTATGCTTTCACGCCAATCGAACCCCACCTGACCTCGACGGAAAAAGCGATCCTCGTCCAGGAGCAGTCCGAAGAAGCCCCAAACGTCGACAACATTTCCGTGCCCGGCACGGGAGCAAAGATTCAGCAGGCGGGGTCCTTCCAGCTCCGTTACGACGTGACGAAACCGCGAACCGGGCCCATCACCCGGCGAGATGCCGCGGGCATCAACATCGACCGCTTGCCCTACCGCGTGCTGGCCATAGACATACTCATCGAGGGCTGCGGCTGGGTGGAGATCGTCGCGCAGGTGCGGACGAACCAACTATTTGCTACGACGAGCGAGGCTCGGGTCGAAGAAACGAAGGAGGTCACAAACCCGGAGAGGTTGGAGAGCCTGGATTTGTCCGATCCCGAGCCAGGGGAGAAGAACGGAGTGGCAAACCCCGAGAAGCTGGAGAGCCTGGATCTGTCCGGTCCCGAGCCAGAGGCCCATGCAGAGCCCGAGGCCTCTTCGGCGGAACCGAACTGGCCTGTCATCGAAGTCTTCTCTCCTGAAGGCAAGTTTATCGGGTCACGGAGGCCGATGAACGCCTGGCTGCTGAACAAGCCGAAGAATACGACTACAAGGTCTCGACCCCGACGCAGCATGAAAGGGGCCAAGAAGAGAGAGAAGTCTGCCCGCCGCGCATCAGAGACTGTGGGTGGTCCTGAGTAACCCCAGTGAGGGAATTGTTAGGTGCCTGAGAGAGCAGGGGATTGGTCAATGTACTGATACGATATATTACTGTGAGTCTACTCCGCAGGGAGGTTCAGATTTAATCATAATGAAAACTGCGGACGGCTAGGAAAACAAATACTCCCCTTGATAATCCTCGTTGATTCCCCCGTGGTTTGTTCCCAAGCAGGGTTTACAACTTGCCAGTTGCGAAGACCCACTTTCCAAGTTGCACCGAGAAAGCTGGTGCTGGTGCTGATGTTCAATTTTTGATTCATTTTCAACAAAACAAATGCAAATGATCCAATTGTAGAGCTGTGTACCTCCGTATGGACCCCCTATTATTTGACTGATATACGTGCTCGCACTAGTGGTTAGTACGACTTACAATAATAATAAAAACCACAACGCAATGGAGCGCCCTGACGTTGTCCGCCCGCTGGGGCACATGTAAGTGCCTCTCGTCTTTTTAAACGCTTAGGTACTCAGTTCGTTGTCATTGACTATGGACGCAGAGAGATGTACTCATCATCTCGCCATGCCCTTGGCTTGTACCGGGGCATAGCAAATGCATGCCAGTACGTGGTTCCCGCTCAGGCGTTGCGGTCAGGGTCTGGATCCCTCAAGGCAGTGGTCGAGAGCGCGTTGGCGCGGACCATCCTCCGGCTGGGTTCCCTGAGGGTGGGAATAATCGACGAAGACACGAATAAGCCGTGTTTTACGCATATTCCCTCCATTAATCTCCATGATATTATCGAATGGACAGTGGTAAAACAAGGAGGCGGATCCTCGGATTTGGAATCCGAGCTTCTGAGGGTGATAGAGAACCGGCTCGACCAGGCGTGGTGTGACATGCACCTCCGCCCACCATGGAAATTGATTGTTGTTGAGGATTCCCGACGGTCCGCGGGCGGCAAGGATCCTGTGGTCTTGGAAATGGTCTTCGCGGCGCATCATGCTATTTCTGACGGCAAGAGCACCGCTCTGCTTCACGCCGTGCTTCTGGAGGAGTTGAACCGAGCCAGCGAGCCGCCATCGACGCTGAGGGACCACGTGCTCAGTTTCCATGACAGCCCGGTACTTGCACCGACGCAGGAAGAACTTGTGAAGTTCAACATATCCTGGTCGTTCCTCTTCAGGTGTTTGTGGGACGAGTTCGGACCTGCCTGGCTGAAGAGCCAGGTACCCGATAGGCCGTGGACGGGAAAGGCCATTGCTCTCGCCCCGAACGGGCTGAACCTGCGTTGCGTTACCATCCCCTCTGATGTGGTGCAACTGGTGCTCACCGCATGTCGGTCACACAGCACAACCTTTACCGCACTACTGCACGCCCTCGTCCTGTGTTCTCTCTCGGCCCGAGCCCCTGCCAACGTTGCCACCGCATTTAGCTCAAGCACAGCCATCAGCTTGCAGCCTTTTGCACGCCTGCCCCCCGGCGTTAATATGGACCTCTCTAAGTTCATGACAGACATGAACACGGCGATGTCGCACAAGTTCGGCGCCCAGGTCGTGGCCGAACTTCGGGGAGTGGAGCCTGGAGCCTCCAAGGAGAATCTCGTGTGGCGCTCAGCGGAGGCGTTGCGGGCTGAAATACAAAGGCGACTCGACACGCTCCCAGACGACGACATCACCGGCTTGTTGGCCTGGGTGGGCGACTGGAGAAAGCACTGGCTGGCCTTGATCGGGAAACCGCGAGATGATACCTGGTCCGTCTCCAACATTGGCTCGAACCGCTACAACGGCGGCAGCGGTGGCGACGCCGAAGGATGGCGGATCCAGAGGTCCATATTCACGCAGCCCGCCATGGTTGCCGGCCCTGCCTTTGCCGTCAACGTCTCGGGCGTGGACGGCGGTGTAATCACGCTGACGTTGAACTGGCAAGAAGGAATCGTCGAGGCCGGGCTAATTGAGGGCATTGCCGGGGATCTACAGGCCTGGTTCAAGCATTTCAAGCAGACCCAGACGTTCGGAGGTTTCAGAGGCTGCAGCTCGTAAATCAGTCGCGACTTCCCGTCTAAGAGACCTTCCTACCTATTTAATGAGGTACCTAGCTACAGATGAACCGAGGTCAATATTGTATTGGAATGTACGAATGCTTGGCGCGTCTAAATCTGGGATGCAGTGGGCTAGCCACCTAGATACGCAGTCCCCGGCAGCAGCTCGAAAGTTACCTAGCTTCCTGTTTGACTTGGATTGTCATACCTTGGTTGCTCTGCCTTGGAAGGGAAGGGAGAAATACGAAGCTTCTTTTTCCGGGGTCGTGACTGCCCCAGTGAAGGGAAAAAAAAAGGGGACCCCTCACTAGGTAAGCACGGTAAGGCATGGAACCTGAAAAACGCCCAATGGATTCCAGCCAGCCCCTCGACGTTTCGTTCCCCCCAACATACAGATACCCAGTCACCTATACAGATTAGACTCGCATCGAAGCTTCTCCTTCATGTATCACTAGCTGGACCACCTTACTTCTCTTTGCCCCAACTTCTTCGCCACCTTCTCTGTCCGTCTCTCGGCCTCCTAGAACTTGTGTCTCACGACTGGTGGGAATGGCTATGACCTCACAGCGACGGCCGAGAAGGTAAGGGAGCTGAATATCGACGAGCCTCTAGCCCTTTTAAACCGCCCCAGCAACCCGCGCCCTGGCCACGTCCATGCCCTCCTGTCGCATCCGGCATGGGAAATAAACTACGGTTGCTGAAATGCAGTCGGCGTTGTCACACTCTGCCCGTGGTCTTACTCGCCGCCGAACCTTGAAGCATCATGGCTCCTTCGTCGGATCGACTTGACTCCCGCCCTCCTCCCGATCTCTCTCCCCCCGATCGTCCTCCCCCGGGTCTCCCTCCTCCCGAAATGTCTCTCCCGCCCCACCGTCCTCATCTCACCCCTGCTCGATTCACCGGTCGTTCTCGAATGACGGACCCTGCGCCGTTGGATGGTGCGCAGGTCCAAGCCTCGAGCTCGTTCTTGGATGAACATCTCCATCCTCCGCGCAATACACGCCCTGGCCATGGACGGTCCATGAGCAATCCCTTCCCCTCGCTGTTCTCGAGCATGAGGAAGAAACAGAGTCGAGTATTATATGGACGTTCTGACTCTGACGAGAGCGATGCCGGAGGCGCCCGCGTTCCCAAGTCCCAGGGCAAGTCCCACCCGGGACCCAGTCGGAATGGCCCAACGGGGAGTCGGGATTTTGTTACGGGGCAATGCATGACTTGCGCCTCTCTGGTTCGGTGGCCCAGGGAGTTGGCGGTCTTCAGGTGCACCATTTGCTCGACTATCAATGACCTGCAACCAACGTTGTCTGAAGGGAGGAGAGAGCGCCCAGAACAAGGAAGATGGGCCCCGGAGGAGGCATCTGGTCTTGCACATCGATCTCCGAGCTGTGAGAAGCCCCCTCAAGTCGCCCAAGACCTCCCGTGAAGCTGTGGTGAGACGCTGATAGCTATTTTCAGCCAACCCGATATCTCTCGAGCACAGTAGAGCCCTTATCACGCAGTGTATCAAAACATACCTTGATGCTGCGCTCACTGAGCCTTCCCGCGATGAAGATGCCGGTAGCTCGGTGCAAGCAAACGAACTCCATGACCCAAGCTTGTCAAGAGTTGGTAATGCTAGCAACGAAACTCGCAGGGTCGTCCCAATACCGATGTCGACGCTTTCACCACCCGTGTATGGACTAGGGCCATCGAGTGATGGGTCCGCGGACCCTAATAATCCCATGCGCCGTAACAGTCCCATGTCTAGGTCGTTCTCAACGTCCTACCCCGAGAGACGGAGAGTTCTTCACGATATGGCCTCACACAAGGTTTCTTATCAGAACTTCTCCGCCCCCGGGCCGGATGCAAGGTCGAAGCGGATCTTCGGACCTCTTGAAAACTACCTTGTCAGCTCATTGGCCTCGTTTCAGTCACTGAACTCGTCATTTGTGGTAGACCGTGCAAGTTTCAACGGCCAACTTGGAGCCGAGCCGGTTCGCCAGCGTCCCTGGGAACCTCGCAAGGACCCTGTATGCGACGGTCAGCCCGTCGCCGATCTGGATCCAAAACTGCTGCTATTAGGTGACATTGCTGAGAACGGGTCATGGTGGACTGGCGGCCAGGAAGACCCTATACCGGCGAGAGTAGCATCGCACGAAAGCGACGATAGACGATCTCTCACCAGCCAAAGAAGCCCCCGTATCGACTGGGGCGAACTGGGCACCTGGTATTCAACCGTCATCAACTGCGGGCAGACCTGGTTGAGCATATACCATGAACTGGTGAAGAACAACTCGTCCCTGGCGGCAACGGACGCGAGGCTTAAGGAGCTGGAAGCACAGCTCCTCCTGGCGCAGGACCACGCACAGCGACTGCTTCTGAAAGCTACAGAAACGATACTCAAGCGGCCCAGCCGCCCCATTATAAGACCGTCGGAGCTTCGATTCCTGCTCATCATCCTTGCCAACCCACTCTTAACCCCTTCCTACAGGCCATTCGCCGGCGTGTTCAAACATCCTGACGGGCTCTTGTCTGGTGCTCGTGAGCGTGCTTCGCATGCCTTCTCTGGGCGACACTCGGGTATCATAAAGCGTATCCTGGGTCTCATTTCTAACACGCCCAATGAGTGCCAGAGTCATCTCGTGTCCTGGTTTGCAAGGTATCCGCAGGCGCAGTTCATCAGAACCAAAGACCTGGTCGGGAGTTTCTTGACCTATCGCTTGATGCGCCAGAGCGAGAAGAAACAGGAGGTCAGGGTAGATATCACTGGTGGGCTTATACCTAACATGTCGGCCGCTACGTCTGCCGCCTCTCTACGCGCTGCCTTGAGTCACCCGTCGGGGTCGAGCAGCAAGCAGGGAGAGAGACAAAAGAAGACTCTGTATCATGATGATTGGCAGATCAGGGCTGCTGCCCAAGTCATGGCATTGATTTTCGCCGCCAACAACTCGGTCCATTCCAGGCCAAGGCTCCCGGAGACATTGTCTACTAGCCGCAGCGACAATACCGGCTTAGCAACAAGGAACGGGGTTCAGGCAAGGGGGCAGATCCTTCCGACCAGCGATTTCTATACCACCTTCCTCGACGACGCAGACCTGTTGGCAGACTTCGAGGCTTGGGAACTTAGGAGGGGAAAGTTCTCCTTCTGCCAATACCCGTTCCTGCTGAGCATATGGGCCAAGATTCAAATCCTCGAGTATGACGCAAGACGGCAAATGCAAACCAAAGCGCGAGATGCTTTCTTCGACAGTATCACGAGCAACAGGGCCATCGAGCAGCATCTTGTCTTGAATGTTCGCCGGGATTGCTTAGTTGAGGACAGCCTCAAGGCGGTCAGCGAGGTTATCGGCAGCGCCAGTGAAGACATCAAGAAGGGCCTACGCATCACATTCAGGGGTGAAGAGGGTGTTGACGCCGGTGGCTTACGGAAGGAATGGTTTCTGCTACTAGTCAGGGAGGTGTTTAACCCCGATCACGGTACGTGAATTGTGATATGCGCCAAAGGAGACGTGGTTTGCTCGTTAACTGACTCTTTTCGCACACACGAAAAAAGGCATGTTCGTCTACGACGAGGACTCTCAATACTGCTACTTCAATCCGAATTCGTTTGAGACCTCGGCCCAGTTTTTCCTCATCGGTGTTGTCTTCGGTTTGGCAATTTATAACTCGACCATTCTGGACGTTGCGTTACCACCCTTCGCATTTCGGAAACTGCTGATGGCAGCCCCTGCCCCTGCCGCATCCCCGGCCGCCATCTCGCAACCCCAGGCCAAGCCAACAATAACCTACAACCTAGATGATCTGGCCGAATATCGGCCGCGACTGGCAAAAGGCCTTCGCCAGCTGCTTGAGTACGAAGGGGATGTGGAATCGACATTTTCCCTTGAGTTTGTGGTCGGTATCGACAAGTATGGCTCTTTGGAGCATGTTCCGCTTTGTATCGGTGGAGAGAGACTCGCCGTGACGAACGCCAACCGGCGCGAGTATGTCGACCTTTACGTACGTTACCTCCTCGACACATCCGTCTCCCGTCAGTTCGAGCCGTTCAAACGTGGCTTCTTCACTGTCTGCGGCGGGAACGCCCTCTCGCTCTTCCGGCCAGAGGAGATAGAACTCCTGGTTCGAGGGTCCGACGAGCCCCTTGATGTGGCGTCGCTGAAGGCTGTTGCAAACTACGATAACTGGGGCGGCAAGAACCCGGCCGAGTCCGAGAAGACAATCCAATGGTTCTGGCAGACGTTTGAAGAGGCATCCCCCGAGAACCAACGCAAACTCCTTCTGTTCGTCACTGGAAGCGATCGTATTCCAGCCATGGGGGCAGCCTCGTTATCCATACGCATTACTTGTAACGGGGACGACTGCGGCAGATATCCTACTGCGCACACTTGTTTCAACGTTCTGTCATTGTCGCGTTACAAGACCCCAGAGAGGCTGAAGACCATGCTCTGGACGGCAGTCCGAGAAAGCGAGGGGTTCGGGTTGAAATAGACGAGCACCGCAACCAGTGCCAGTACCAGATCATGGCCAGGACGTGTTTGCATGACCGGATTTAGGGAATCCGTGTTGCATTAGCCGTCGTCGTCGTCGTTAACATAACCCCTATAGGAGAGCTCGAAACGCCTTGTCTCGAACTCCACTGCCGCAGGAGTGGTTGTTTGTACCTAATGAAGTAATGACGGCCTGGGAGAAACAATCGATAGAATCGATAGAATGTATTTCTTACGCTGAGTTGCAGCATAGCGTTGTGTATAGGCTATAGCGAAGGCAAACTATTACCCTCCTTTAAGTTCGATTTGACCCATCCAAATAGCATCATCACTCCAGGATTTACAACCCATAGGTCGGATACCGTACGCCGACATTTAATTATTTCGATTAGCTATGGACAAGTCGGGTCTACCCTCTGAATCACCGCCCCGTACTCCTTTCCTCGCTATATCGTCACAACAGCGACCTTGCCACATACATTCTAATACAGAGAGGAGCAGCATGAGTAAACCCCACAACAAAAAGAAGAAAATAACCCGCCAACGTAATGCTTGCTTGCTCGATCGGATATATCGTTCGTTCGTTCGTTCGTTCATCACCTCGGACCGTTTGTTGGGTGCAGCAGCGCTCTCCCCAACTCCATGGTATGCTGTCGTGTCGTAATGCCGCCTCCCAACGCCGGAGCTTTGCTGGAAATAATATTGGAAAAAAAAAGACGAAGAAATGTCCGTTAAGCCAGCACATAACGCATCAGATGAGAGAAGAACCGTCCTTGCTTTTTTTCTTTGCTTTTTTGCTTTCTTTTTCTTGTGTATCACACCATTATTCCCCCCCGCCAAGCCGTAGTAGAGTCGAGAAAAGGGGAGGGGGAAGGCATTTTATAGCTTCCGCCCAAACATGAACGACCCGTACATGCCGCCGACCTCGGCCCTGGCGACGGGAATCTTTCTCATGCCCCAGGACTCGGCGCCCATCTTCCAGGAGCGGACGCCGTCGTCGCGGGGCCCGCCGTTGCCACCGAAGCAGCCGGCGCGGCCCCCGCCCTCGTCGGCGCGGCGGACGAGCCAGGTCCTGCTGCCGCACTCCGAGGTGCGCCAGCCGACGCGCGCGATGGTGGCGGGCGACTTTGCGAGGCGGCGGGACACGTCGTCGGCGACCTCGACGACGTCGAGCGGCTCCGAGAAGCGCGTCAGGATGGCGCAGCTGGGGCCGAAGAGGAAGCTCAGGTCCAGCTCGCTGCCCCAGAAGTCGGAGAGGTCGACGTACTTGAGCGTGTGCGGGACCCAGGCCAGCTGGCCCTCCACGCCGAGGGCCTCGTCCGGGACAAACAGGCCGTTGACGTCGTCGATCTTGAGGCCGCGGCCCAGCGCCAGCTCCTCGAGGTGCTTGGTCAGCGGCAGGAGGAGGTTGATGTGCGACTTGTCCATCTTGCTCCCCTTCAGGCTCAGGGACTTGAGCGTCTGGGGCAGAATGGGCACGAGCTCGGCGAGGTCGTCGGCGTCGAGGAGCTGGTGGCTCCTGGCGTCCGTCGCGAGGGAGAGGAAGACGAGCCCGGCCGCCACCGCCGGGTGGGTCGCCAGGAAATCGATCACTGTCCTCGCCGACAGGAGCTTGCACTTGGCCAGATTCAGGTGGCTGATCCTGGCGGTGGCCGGGATCGACTCGAGGGCCTTGTTGGTGAAGCGAGTGCCAGCCACATCGAGATGCGTGAGATTGGGGAGTCGAGGGAGGATTAATTCGAAGACGGAAGAGGGGAGGGTCAGGCACTTGTGGAGAGATAGCCGGGTGATGGAGATGTGGGCTGGCCATTCGAGACTCAGAATGGAGGTGAACGAGTCCTTGAAGGAGGCGGAGGAGCATCCGCAAAAGTCCACTGCCTGCAGCCTGGGAAGGCCCAGGAACAATTTGTGCAGCACATGCGGATCGAGGTCGTCGTCAAGATACTCCTGCGCCAAGAATTCCTGGAGGTAGGGAGTGAGCTCCAGGCATTGGACAAGGGTGGCTGCGGTCAGGTTCTTCGCTTGCGACCGCTCGGCTGCTGTGGAGAAGAGCTGGGCGGGGTTAAAGTGGCAGAAGTCCAGCCGCCGAACGATAGTCCCGAGGGCAGGGTGGCTCGAGATGTGCGAGAGGAATTTCTGGAAAATCCTAGAGTGAGGAATGGTAATCTTGCTGTACAGGGTGCTCAGCGTCGCCGTATGCACCGTCTTGGACGTCAACAAGAGAGACATCAGGTCAACATTGCGTCTTGTGAGCCCATTGGGAGGGATATCAAGAACAAGCAGATTGATGATAGAGCCTGAAAATCACGCCATGTTAGCAGCAAAGTTCGTGAGAAGGCCGAGGATGGCGGCGGCGGCGGAGGACGTACCCAGGAGCTCTATGGGCAGCTTCTCAAAGGGAGCATCTCCGGGAGCGTCGGCACCCCTTCGTCTGGGGGGTTTGGGAGTGGCGTTCCAGGCCAACTTCAGCATCTGCAGGTCCCCAAAACTCTTGCTCGCCAGCTTGCCTCGCACGTTGATCTTCTTCCATCCCATGAAACTCTCGGCCGGTGACCAGTAGCCATGGAGTCTGCTGTCCGGGTGAGTCAAGGGGGGCGAGAAATGGGTCTCGACCATTGCGCCTCGCTGGGCAGAGGGTTGTTCCACGGCGTCGTCGTCGGCAAATGTCAGGGAGGAGGATACCTTGGAGGAGGTGAAGGTCTGGGCGAGATCCGAATCTGTCTCTCTTATGGACGAGAAGGAGGAGCGGGATGCTCGGTCTGGAGTACACGACCCGACTGGGGAATCCGGAGTCAAGGTTTTGTAGTCAGAGAGGCATTCGCCCCCCAAGTTTCGAGCCTGCGAGGGGTCCGGCTGCTTTGGGACGGCCATGGCTGGAGCTTTGAATACTTTGGAGTGCTGTGGTGGTCCTTGTGCTTGCTTGTGCTTCCCAGTCCACCAAGCACGCCAGACACAGGATATGCTGCGAGTGGGATGGTCTGGTGCAGAAATACTTGTCAGGCTGACCAGCCCACCGATGGTTCCTGTGGTTCCTGTGGTTTCACAGACGGAGGCAAGGGGCAGAGTGCCTTTCTATTAGTCACAGGGTCGGCTGTTTAGGTAACAGTAACAGGATGAACTGGCGATGCGGGGAAGTGGTTGAGTCTGATGGATCCGTGGGTTGAGCTGCAACACGGACACGCTTCACCGGCTCTGCTGGTGTAAATGCACGAGATGAGAAGCTACTACTGCGTAGCCAACAGGGTAGTTGGAAGAAAGTAGGTAAGTAAATATGTAGGTAATTTTCAACTTTCCTCTTCTCGACCACTAACGTCAGGCACGGGAGGCAAAAGCGACAACCTGCTGCATTTTGGAGGGCGAGGGCTCACGTACCCCTCTAATTAGACAAGCCGAACCAGGTCATTAAACACACGCCAAGCACTTTACCCTACGAAATCTGGCCGTGCGTCTGAGTTCTGCCGCACCTCACCGTCTACAGTGAACCCCAATTCGGGCCGGGCCATTTTTTGTAAACTGAGTCTCGCCCATTGCCAACCGACACTAGCCATAGCTCGAAGCACGGGTGCACCTAGTGTAGGTAAGTACCTTAGGTAATAGCTATTGAAACACTAGACAATCGCCGAGAAAACAACCTAATGCTTTTTTTTTAACGTTGCACCGAGCGGTGTTGAGCCGGTCGAGCCAGTTTGGACAGTACAAGGTTTTGCGCAATGCTTGAAGAATTGTTGGGCGACAAGTGTGAGAGTGTGTCGAATTACTTCGAATGCACAGTCGAGGGTCCTTGCAGGGGTCGCGCCAGGCAAAGGTTTGATGACGAGCTATGATGAGAAGCGAGCATCATGGTTGCGGTCTGATACGGATTGGGTAATGAAAATAAAGGACTGGATCTCGCCTCGTCACCTGAGCACCAGTTTGCAAGGGAAAACCATCCCAGCCATTTCAGAGCCTGGTCAACGTTCGTGCTATTGGTGGTATGCTTCGGTAATTTAGTAATGGAAAACGTTTTGGTGGGCGTGACCAGCAGAGGAAGGCACGATGCACCCAGCAAATTGAACAACTTAAGCCGCCAAGCAGCACCAAGTCTGCTCACACCATTCGGTCCTGCGAAGGATTATCGTATGGAGGTGTGTGGTCGAGTGCCTTTCCCACATGTTTTCATCCGCACCCAAGCAGACACCCCAGCCCAGAAGATAGCAATGATAGGCTCAATCATGAGGCGCAGACCTGATATCATACAGCGCCACCCACTCGCACGTGATCCGTCGAGTGTGACTGGACTGATTGATTGATCTTGTCAGAACAACATGAGCAATGCTACCAGTACATAGTATGCGATGTCGGAGTGTTACGTCGAGTCCTGCTGACAGGGCACGTGAGACCATCTATGCATGCCTTGTACGCGTTCTCTGGAGCTACAGAATTATACCCTGCTGGGCTTTGCCGGGGTCAGTAGAAAAGGTACCTCGCTATAACCACCTACACGCATGACACTGCATAAGACATGAACGTGGAGTCGGCTACGCAGAAGTTGAACCCGCCAGATGGGTTTTGCCACAACCAGTCGTCATTTTGATTGGATAGGCACCCGACCAGTGCCGTTTTTGGGGAAGGACCTCAGCTTCGGTGGCTTCGGGAGGGGAAAGCCGCATTGGAGAGCAAGGTATATCGATCTAGACCTCGTTCCGTTCCCTGCACTAGGAAGGAGGGGAGGAAGGGGAGGACCGGTTTGAACGGTTCGTTGCAGCCGAATGGATACTCAGCCTTGTACAGTCGCAATGGTGGCTCTTGGTTGGGATGGTCTCACTCGGGGTGTTGCATTTACACTCAAACCCCTCAACTCTCTCCCGGCAGACCAACCTAACCTGTGTTGCGTAGAAGGTTCTAGCATACATACCTGCCCTCCACAAGCCCAAGCCTTGGCCCCCGCCTCCAGACCCCCAGGATCAAGGCCACTGCCGTCCCACGGGGTGAAGTTCTGGCTGGGGGGGTGGCGGAATACGGTGCAATATTTGGAGTTTATCATGGTAATGGGGATGAATTCCTGACTATAGGTACTCGAGAGTACCTTCCTAACGATCTCAGATACCTAGCCCATCTTCCTCCATGAACTGCATTCCCGCCGGTTTGGATAAGCCGTGTCAAACCGCCACAGGCACCGGCCATGCACCTAGGTACCCACCTATACACCCATGCCGATGCCCCGAATACAAGCCGCAATTCATATGGACGCCAAACCAACAAGTCAAGCAAGGGCCACCGTTCAAGGCCCTTTTTCTAGCATCCGAAGCCCGCCAGCGATCCCCAATCACATATGTACGTTGTCTTAGGTATATATCCGGACCATGCCCATAAGCATATATCATGGTATCCAGTGGCATCCTTGTGCCAATCCGAGTGGCAAGTCCTACCACACACATCACAGATGAGGAGGAGGATGCGTCTGAAAAGCCACCAGAACGCCCCGGGGTAAAAAAGAATTAAAGCAACAGGGAAAAAGGAGAGGAAGGAAACCTGGAAGTATATGGTCAACCAACCAACAGGGCCTGCGGAGGCAGGTCTTATCCAGACATCCTATCTCCCGTTGGGTGCCTTGCCCCCGATTCGGAGCCTTTTCTTGCAGTCCTCGCAGTACCACTTCGCTGCACGAAACTGTTAGCGACTTGCTCCATCAACTAGGTCGGTCCGGGCTGCGTGCGGCCATCGGAAGCGGACTTACCATTGCCCTTCGGCGCTACTTTCAAGCCCACGCATTCGAGATGGAACCACTCGCGCTTGCATCCATCCGCGTCGCAGGCTACCATCTCGCCGTAGCTGACGTTATTGCAGTAACAGTACCGTGGCTCATCTCCATCAATGTCTGCCTCCTCCTCGTCATCTTGTGCACTCTGGTCTTCCTCGGCCGCGGCCTGTTGAGCCGCAACCGCCATCGCGGCCGCCGCGGCTGCCGACGCCCCTTTCTTGTGGCTTCGCTTAACAGGAGGGTTAGTGCTGTCCAAGGCACGCGACGGCCGAGAACGCGCCGTGGCTGCCTCAGCAAATGTTGCGAGCGCGGGCGTTGATGGTTTGCTGGCTCGCCCGCTCTTTGTCATCACAGCGGGCGCTGTTACGGGCGGTGCCACCGGTGTTGCCGAGTCTCTTTTCGCCTCGTTCTCCTCCGTTGCCTTGGCCGTGGTCTCCTTTTTACTGCCATTAGGAACAGGCGTTGACGATATGACCTGGACCTCGTTCTCCGTCTTGATAACTTCAGGTTTGGAGGGAGCTGAGTTCTCCTTCTGCGGTTTGCTATCGTTGGTGGCACGGCCCCCATTGCTCTGTGTCACCACATCTGGTGTTCCCACGGCATTGCCGTTTGGCTTGTTTGGCGCGGGTGGCGATGGCCGCGGCCGGCCGTTCTCGACGTTTGACTGAGTAGAATTCTGCCGTGCACGAGACGAGGCCGGCCGGGTAGCAGTAGACGGAGCGGGCGAACTTCGCACGGGCTTAGAGACGTCTGGGAAGTTGCCAAGCACAGGTGACGAGGCAACAGACGGAGACATAGCTGCGCCGGTTCGACTATACGATTATATTAGTATCCAAGCCCCTGCAAATCGGAGCGGGCCGATGGCGGGACAGACAAACCTCTTCTTCGACTGGTTGCTGGATGTAGGCAGCGCCTTGCGCTTCTTGCTCGCACCGTCGGGGGCGGGAGTCTCGCGTGGGCTAGTCGTTTTCGGCTTTGGGGCATTGGCGCCGAAGACGTTGCTCATGGCCCGTTCCATGGGGGCGCCGCCTCCATTTGTCTTGTTCTCGACCTTGCGACGCTTCGAAGGTGGATTGCCGCTGGGACCCCCGGCTGTAGATATGCCGAGGCCGACGGCGGCCGCATTATCGGGCGCAGGCTTTCGAGATTTATTGTTGCTCTGTGACTTCTTTGGTTGTTCTTGCTGCTTGCCATCGGCATCGGCATCTGCGCCCTGGTTCCTGGAGTTCTTCTTCGCGGCGAGCGCTTGCTTCCTGTCATTGCTCCGAGCGGCAGCTTCTTCAGCCAGTTGCTGGGCAGCGGCAGAGAGAGTCGCGGCGCCTTCGCGGCGCGACCGCTCTGCTTGGGTGTTGTTTGATCGGACAATCCTGTTCTCCAAGTATGCCCAGTGTGTCGAGCTGCCCCATTTAGCCTCGTCGCTAAACTCCCCTTCAAGGTGCGGCCAAACATCGTCGATGCGGGCAAGTTGCTTCTGCAGAGCATCGTTGGCCGTGGATATGACGTGGTTCTTCTCCTCGAGAGACACAAGCATCTCCTGAATCTTAAAGGCAGTCTGCCTGAACAGCTGGCGACGCGGCAGGTTGCTGGGGTCGAAGAGAGCTGTGTTAATTGACTCGTCGGTGGAGACAGGAGGAGGGACCTGAGAGTTGAGCACGGTGCCGCTGTTACTATTCTGGGCACTCATAGGTGCCGAGTTGGGCGCGATGCTGCTCGATGCGTCATTGTGTGATCGCGCCGGGTCGGGAGGAGGAGCGTTGAGGGCGGCGTCGATGAGCTTGAAGAGGCCCTCTTCTGGCGCAAATATCTTGGCGTCGACCTCCTTGAGGAGGGTGAAATGGCGCACAAGCTCTTTGGGAAGAGCCGTGATAGAATCGGCGAAATGCGTGACGGCAGGAAAGATGTCGATCGGTTGTTCGTGTCCTGGTCCGCTCGCGAGAGGATTGTTTCGATTGATTACTGTGGTGCGGGAAGGGTTGGTTCGTGTCTGGCGCACAGGCTGGGACCTGCGATTCGAGCTCGACGAGCCCTCGGGGGCAGGTGGCTTGGCCGTCTTCATATCGTCGATGAACGACGGTGACCGTCACCGTCGCGAACGGGGAACGTTGTGCGTGGAAGATTGCTCGTCAAGAAGAGGGCTAAGGCGCTAAGACTCTGGGGCTGTCGGATAGCTCTTTTCGAAACGACGAGGCAAGAAAGGAGCCGTGAATGGCAGGTGGGGACGAGTGCATTCAAGCCATCTCTGTAGAATCGTCACGGTTGGGTGAGTAGTCGCAAGATGATCGTGAGAGAGGAATCCCTAGAGACAAACAGACACGGCCTTGATTGATTTTAGCGGGACCTGGTCGCCAGCCGGCAGATATAGCGACGGCACCTGTAGATCGGTCCTAACTTGGGCCGTCGCCGACAACGGTTGAGGGGTCGGCGGATTAATGCGTGGTCGGGGCCTTATGTCGCTCTGTACAGTACATAAGTACCAAGCTGATAAGATAAGCCAATGCCTCCGAGATACTGAAAGTATGCCTCTTCACGCCGACCTGTGTTTATTTCACCAGCGTTTCTATGGTACTCTCTAACAAGACTTGGAACACCCGACCTCCTTGCTTCGCTTCTCTCCGGACGGGACTTCTTCAATGCTGCTTCATACGCCGGCGTGGCTTCTCATCCCTCTCTTTCTGCTTCCGTCTCCACTGCCACTCAAGGAGCACGGGAATAAACTGCCACAGGTCGAATTCCGGCCAGAAGCACTTCAGGAAGAATATCTGAGTGTCTTGGTGACACTGCCAGAGCATGAAATCGCTCAACCTCTCCACCCCGCTTGTTCGAATGAACATGTCGAGGGGAGGACACCCGGCCGTGTACATGTGGCTATCTAGAGTTTCCGAGGTAATGCTTTCCGCATTCGGGTAAATGGTGACATCCGGCCGGGATCCTGAGGGTGGGGGAGATGACCCGGGGTGAAGAGTCGCCGAAGATGAGGCAGAGTCGTCCACATCCTCGGACCGAGGAGAGGACGGCGCCGGCGACGTCTCCCTGATTTCCAACAGAGGACCATCGCTATCATTCTGCCGCGACAAATGCTTCTGGATTCGAGACTGGGAGAGGGGTGTGCTGTGAGGCCTCGGCGTCGTCGAGTACTCCTCCACCGTTGACCTGACGGCGCTGGCAATCTCCTCTCTCGACGTGTATGGGAAGCAGATGTTGAGAATGGCACTGGGAGAGCGGCCGTTAGCTATCTGAACAGGATGGGGAGAAGTGTCAGGCAACGCACTCCTTGTTATGCTTGGTGTTATCAACGGCCTGATCAATCACCTCGAGGACGTCGGGTCGGACAAGATCCCGCTGCCCTAGCACCCGAACGCTGGCGCCATAGCGCTCCAGCAGGTCGTCGTGCTTAACCAACTGCTCCAGCTTGGCCTTTGCGAGCTGCATTAGGCCTTCGACCTCGTATTTCGGCCGGTTGTAGTTTTCTATGCTGAAGGCATAGACGGTGACCACCTTCACGCCGCACTTGTAGCAGATTTCCAAAACCTGGCAGGCTTTAGCCAATCGCTCAAACGTCGGGGGAAAGAAGAAGGCTTTACCCTAGCAAGCGCCTCGAAGCCCAAGTGATGGCCCTCGATTGTCTCGATCTTATGGCTCCGCGCGTAGCGACGGTTGCCGTCCATCTCGAATGCGACATGTTTAGGAATTGCACCTTGGCTTAGAGCTCCTATCAGGAGCTCCCGGAGCCGATTGATGGCCCATTCTGCGGGTGGAGAGCTGAGGGTCCAGTTGGTCAGATGGGAGAGATATAGGTCAGACATGGCTGAGCACCGAGTAAGGACGGAGGGTGCCGAAACGGGGGTCCGTTGCCGAGTATCAGGCCTGGCCGTCGCAAACCTGCGAGTTGAGAGGAAAGGGGATTTTGGTCGCGTTATGTTCACCGAGATGCCATCCTTCGTGTCGGTCCTGGGCTGGAGGTTGTGAAACGTCGCCGTCGAATGCTATGTTGAGGACAATCGGTGCAGTGTGGAAGGTGAGAAAACCGATGTTACTGGCTGTCTAGAGATAAGCAGGAATGACACGGTAAGTAATGTACACTATGATGTGGCTGGAATGGCAATTTTTGGCCGTGGCACACCTTCCCTGCAGTTTGGCAGCTGGGAGGGTGTGATGTCAGCGGTGTCGACCTAGTAACTGTACCCGGTTAGGTAGGTACTGTAGTGTAGAGGCGGCGGGGACCTCCTGCACCAATGCCCATAGGGGACCCACCTTCCACTTCGGACTTCCGTCTCGCTGTGGTTGACTGAAGAAAACACCTTGCAACACAAAGCTAAACTTGACAGGGCGGTTTCCTCCTCGCCCGCAAGCCCAGGCACAGGAACTGCTGGACAGATCTCAAGCTCAATCTCCTTTTCACCTATGGCAGGAGCATTTATTCTCCCGAGCCACTAAAGACGTCGGCGTCGCAAACAGCCATCTGCCGTCAGCAACCCGCCATCCATCATCCGGTCTTACACAACCCTCGAACATGTCCTTCACCAATGCGCCTGTGACGCGCAGCCTGGTCCTTGGACTCGCGGCAACGTCGATAGCTGCCAACCTCTTCGATGTCAAGCATTATTTCTACATTCTGGTAGATCCACATGTGCTTCGGTATCACCAGGCATGGCGAGTCTTGCTCTATCAGCTTTGTTATACAAATTCGTCAGAGGTCCTTTTCGCCGCCATGACTCTGTACAATATGAGGGTGGTTGAGCGCACGTGGGGTTCGAGGAAATATGCTGTCAGTGGTTCGCAACGTCTCTTGAAGCGCTGAGTCAACTGACAGTGCAGGCAGTCTTTCATCCTCACCTCGGCCTGTATCACAGCCATTCTCCCGCCCGTCATCCTCGCTGTCATGCTCCGTCCTTTGACATTCGGGGCCTTCAACTACTTGCCAGCAGGTCCCACACCCATCATATTCGCTGTCTTGGCACAGTACCATGCCATGATTCCACACATCTACAAGTACCGGCTGGCCTTATCAGCCTCATCCCCAACTGACGACGAATCCGCGGGCTTGACCTTTTCTGACAAATCATACCGCTATCTTCTTGCGGTGCAATTGGCACTGTTCCAATGGCCGGGCTCCTTGCTCGGTGCTGCGGTGGGCTGGGTTGTGGGATATTCATGGAGGAACGACCTCCTCCCAAGGATGTTCACTAGCTGGAGGGTTCCCTGGTGGGTCGTCGGCATCAGGACGCAGAAGAGGAGTGAGGGTTTTGAAGGCCTTCGGAGAAGACTGGAGGGCGAAGACTCGCCAACGGCCACGGCGACGGGAGCTCGGGTTGGAGCCGAATCTGATGCAGATACAGGACGGCGGCGAACGATGGGGCAACAGATTATAGACCAAGTCAGAGGGGCTTTCTGACTGAGCATATCCGTACTTTGTGCGGAACGAGTGATACCGCAGAAGCTAACAATTGGGCTCGAGCATTCAATGGATGAGCTTTTGTCTTAGTCTCTCCTTAAGGGCGTCCACTAGATGATGCTTGTTGACTCCAAAGCAGGCCGCACGACTGGCCACCTCTGTTGGAGTCTTCCCTCGAAGGTACAGGCGAGGATGAGCGGGCACCAACCTAGTAACCTGTACGAAGTTGTATGTCGCTGGTTTGAATGGCACAAGGCAGAACCCAAGCTGGGTAAGGTAGGTTCAGCACTGCTGGCTCAAGCCGTTAACCAGCGCCGGCGCTGATATGGCCTCGTATTCCGTACTTTCTTTCCACTTTCCATTTTCCATTTTTCCTTTTCCCCTCAAAAAAAAGAAACAAAATCTCGAAATAGTGAACACTATTATTGCCCCTAGCATGGGACCCCTCCAATATACAAAGTGGGGAGACCCTGGCGGGATAAAAATTAGGTACTGGTGTGAAGATCTCCCAAGCATGAAATTGTCCCATCCAAGTGGTACCATGGGCCGTATGACAGCCAAGTATGTGGCCTCTAATGCTGCTGATGCAACTGAACACCATGGTACTGTACCTTTGTATGTGGTCGTATTCAATCTTGTGGCAGGTAAGGGGAACTACCTGCCGGAGAGGTAGGTATATCTAGAGGTAAGATTGGAAGTTTGCATTGTATGCACGTACACTCACCTCCACCAAGGTATCCGGATATGCAGGGGGCAACCTGCATCTGGGGGGTCACCGCGCGGCGGGGGGGGGGGGGGGGGGGGGGGGGGGGGGGCCCCCCCCCCCCCCCCCCCCCCCCCCCCCCCCCCCCCCCCCCCTGCCTGTCTCCCGCCTCTTTTTTCGATCCATCGTGGACGGCTCCCATAAGCGCCTCATCTCCTTTTCAAGTTAGCCTCCTGCCACCCTACTTTGGCAACCAGACTGGAACAGTCGATTCTCAAGAGAACTGGCAACCAAGGCTTTTCTCGAACACGTTCTATTTCTCTCTACCATAATCATAATCAAACTGTCTCCTCGGCTTTCTCTTTGTTGGGTTCTCGCATCCAGCTAGCGTTCGTCAATCGGACCACCGAGCATTGTCTCTTGGCAATCTTTCTTTCTATCCTGGATGGCGACAACCTTGAACTCACTGCCAACTTTCGGAATCGCGCCACGTACCTTGTATAATGCCTTGACGAATGCGACCGGCTTTTGGACTCGACGCACATGATGAATGGTGCCAGCGCAAGGAATGGTTATGACTACAATGTCGGGAGGGGCCCTTCCCTTCGGGGTCCCGGGCCTAGGGGAAAGGCACCGGGGTTGGGTTACGGGAAGGACATCATGTCTGGATCCGAGAAGCAAAAGCCGCTCTACAATTCTGTAAGCCCCCAATCAACCCTGTCTCTCCAGAGGGGCGTCCCATCTGATCGTCAAATCTGCAGATGGACTCCAATCGACCGCCACAGAGCTCGACCCTCGTCGACTTGAAGGACCCGATACAGGTCCACCTACTCACTGAGACCGCCCTTTCCGACAGCAAGGAGTACGAAATCTTGTCGCAGGAGGAGGTGGACGGCCTAAAAAAGCAGATCCAGTTCCTGACCCAGCGCGGGGAACAGACCAGGGCAAACCTCGCTATCCAGTCGAAATACCGCGATGCAGCAATCTCCATGGCCAAGCTGTACTCGCCAACGGGAGGCAGGGGGGACCGCAGCCGTGGCGGGGATGACGCTCGCCAGGCTGAGTTGGAGAAACAGGCGAGCGAGCGTCGGTGTGAAGAGCTCGTCGCCGAGCTGTTCTCCCTAGATAAGCGCTTGATGGATGCTCAGACACGGCTGCTACAACACACGGCTGGCATTTTGCAAATAACCCATCGAGCCTCCTCTAGGAAATCGAACCAACCGCTAAATACGCAACCTCTACCCAACGGTATCCCTGGAAGCCCGGAGAGCCTCTATACATCTTCTAACGGTCGCGACAGTCTGGAGGGCGCGGGTGATGACATATATTTTGACGATAGAAGCCTATACTTCCCCCTCGATCAGGTGGACGGACACTCTGTCCGGCCCCGAAAAAACGTGATCGAGATCCCCATGAAATCTCCTGTTCGAGAACAGAAGAACCAGCTTCGCGAAGAGGCTGATCGCCTTCGTGAGGAGAACGGCCGCTTAGGCGCTGAGGCCGAATCACTTCGCAAGGAGGGTGCCGAGCGGCTCGAGTTCATCGTGGACACGGAGAAGAAACTGGAGGACCTCGCCAGCAAGCTCTACGACATGGCGTCGAGATTCAATCCCGTGAGCAGCCAAGGTTCTCTAGAGCCACCGGCCAGCCGCGGTCCGGAACCAGGTGCCATGGTGGATAGGCAACTGGATTATCTGGAGAAGGGTCTTGCCGTTGCATTGGAGGAGCGAGAACGGGAGATTTCCCAGAGTCGAAAGGAGGCCGAAGTGGCAGCAGCCGCCACCGCTGCAACGCTAAACCAAGTCGAGGGCAAGGTTGAGGCACTGAATCGCCAAGTACATGAAGTGCTGCGGAATATGGAGCCTGATTATCCATCGCCGCCTGAAATATCAGGACAGGCGTTGGATGAGCAGCTTGACTACCTCCAGGACTCGTTTAGGACAGTCCAGACCGAACTCGCTCGTGCCGCCGAGCTTTCATCCTCGACATCCGCCAACAAACAGAAGAATGACCAGATCGAGGCAGTCCTGACGGGGTTGTGGGATATTATCCAGGCAGGCTACGCAGAGATGTACCAGCAAAGGGTCGAACGCCGGAAAGCGAGAGCTGAAAAGGGTCTCGAAGAGGACGAGGATGACATGTCTAGCGACGAGTCCCTGATGAGTACCGACGAGCCATACTCACTCCAGGCTTTCTCGACAAAGGTGCAGTGGCTCTATGCTCAAGCAACGAGTCTGAAGGAGCAGAAGGTCGTTCTCAAAAGACAGATCAAGCAGCAGCGCGAACTCAACAACAAGTCCAGCTCTGACAAGGACGTCGAGCTGAGCGAAAAGACGGACGAGCTGCAGAGTGCCCGGGATCTCCTCGCCAGTTCCGAGAAGGTGACGAGGGATACACAAGACAAGCTGACAAAGGCACTCAATGATCTGGATACATTGCAACAAACCAGCGCTGCCAACGAATCCGCCGCTGCTCAAGTCGCGCGGGATCAACTCGGGGAGCGTGATGCAAAGATCTCGTCTCTCGAGTCGAGTAGCAAAGACCTCCAAGCCAAGCTTTCCGAGGTAGAAACCAGCGTAGCTGCAACCCAGACTCTGTTAGCTGCCACGCAGGCCCAGTTGGTCCAGATCAGCGACGCCAAAACGGCTGCAGAGGCACAAGCCGAGAAACTACAGAAGGAGGTCGCGGAGAAGGACGAGGAGCTTGACCGTATGAATATCATGGTCGTTGAGCTCAAGACCGAGGTCACAATCGCCAAAGCCGAGCTCGACGGGGCCTATGGGTCTCGCGCACAACGTGCGAAGGAAGCAGCGGCACTGACCAAGAGCTCCGAGAATTCCGAGCTGGCGTCACAGAACGACAAGCTGAAGGGCGAGCTTACGAACATCCTCAAGGAGCTGGAGGACATGACGAAGGAGACGATCATTGCCGAGAAGGAGAAGCTCGAGCTTGAGAACAAACTCGACGACGTCCTGGCGGTCAAGGCCGCCCTCGAGTCAGAGGTCAAGGTCCTCGGAGAGAAACTCGACAGGGAGGTTTCCCAACTGAAGGAGCAACTCGACGCGGAGAGGCTAAGGGTTCCGCCCAGTCCGAGCGGCCTGAACTCACAGCCGAGGGCCGGGGCTTCCATGCTCAGTGAACAGTTCCGCGCAACAATGAAGGACGAGCGGAGGAAGTTCCAGGAAGAGATACGGGTTCGTCTCTGCCCTCACTCCCCTGCTTAAGATGGTAATCCTGCTAACCGAATGTCGATAATAGGAGGAACAAGCACGACGACGGAAACTCGAAGACGAGCTGCGCGCACTTAAGAAGGCACAAGGCCCTGGGAGGAGCCCTCTTAGCCCGCTCAGCCCAAGGTGAAGAGCTTGGGGCGTATGACCTCTGTTTTTACATTGCATAAAGCATTGCATAGGTACTGTACCAAACTTTTGGTCGGCGTTCTGAGAACATATATATAATATGGGGCTAGAAGGAAAGGGGGTTGGTTCTTGGTTGGTGTCATGTGTATATCTATCTACCCTGTCTCGTTCGTGTATATTGGCCACCGAGCGATATCAGCATGTTGCATGTATTGGGGTGAAACGTGGAATATAATCAATCCCTACGCCAGGGGAACCTATTACATCACAACTATCTGTCCCCTGCCCCTCCCACTTCTCAATTTTGCGCCTTTCAATTTTGTTCCCAAATTCAGGCCGCAGACGTCCATATCCATAATTCCAGACCAGCACTCGTCAACCCCAGAGAGGCGCGGTCACCTCCACGGCTCTCTCCACAACCGCCCTGACGCGGTCGGCAAAGACCCTGTTGTTACACTCCACATCGAGGTCTTCCAGCCAGACCTTGGCCTCCATCTTGTCCACCTTGATGGAGACGCCGGGCACGGGTATGCCGAGCCGGTGTAGCCTCTCGAGCTCCGCCTGCTGCCGCACCTTCAGCTGGCGTTCCTCCTCCTCGTCGTCGTCCGAGAGCTCCATGGACGCGTCCGAGCCATCGTCGTCCGAGCCGCCCGCGGTGTTCTTCTCCTTCGACTCCTTGGCCACCGGGGCGAGCTTCGGCTCCGCGATGGGCGCCACGTTGTCGGCGCCGAACTGCGCCTCGAGGAACATGAAGAGTCGCTCCAGGCGCTCCTCCGCGGTGGCGTTTGCGTGCGGGTTGCGCTTGGGCAGCGTGGCTACGTCGGCGGAGTCTGAGTGCTTACTTGCCGAACCTTCGGGGTCGTTGTTAGGACCACACTTTTATAGACCGGGGGGGGGGGGGGGGGGGGGGTGTGGTGGGCTCAGGGGTTGGATTGTTACAAATGATATAACGTTTAGACACCCGGGCACGAGCTAGTCCCGGGGGGCGCGCGCGAGAACGGCGGG